TAAAAACATCTCACAACTCGGCCGGTCGACGATCAATTAACCAGCCGCGATAGTTAACTAAGCCGTATGGTAACTAGAACTCAGTCGGATTTTCCAGGAACCAGCCTAAGGATGTATAAGTCAGTCGTAATATCTGACCGTAACTCAGCCGTTATCACTTAAACCAGCCAGATTTTTTTAAGTCAGCCGTAACGATCGACTGAGTTATGTTCATAACTCAGCTTATTTCTCATAAGTCAGCTAGGTTAGTTAAGTCAGCCGCTACGCACCTATATATGGGCCGTAACGTAGTTCGTATCCTATTGCGGCTGAGTTTTATGCCGCATTCTTACGTGGACCCGAACTTTTTGCTTACGTGGCATAAAAAAGTAATGGCATTCTTGTAAATATGTTTTTTCTCACAACGTGAAAAAGGGCACGCTGAGTATTAAAAAAAAGGTAGTAATAAAAAAAAAATTTGTATGGTTGTGATAATAATTAATAAAATTCATATTAGTTGAGTTAACTTCCCTTGGATATAATGCGAAAAATAGAAAAAGAAACATGTTCTCAAGGTTCGTAACAAAAACAACTAGATTTTGAAAAAAGGAAAGTGCAGATTATTTTATGAATTATAAACAAATATTGGGATTGTTGTACAATATTGGTTTTCAAAATCGTATTATATCGGAAAAAAATTGAGATTTTATATATACATTTTATGTAACTTTTTCTTAAAATTTAGCATTTTTACTTGGATCAAAAAAAAAACGATTCTAAACCAACTAAAAAATTACATGTTCGGTTCAGTCTGGATCAAGGACAAAATACAGGTTAGACCCATCTTCAACCGGGACAATGAACATTCCTGGCTGCGCTGCGCACGCCGTATCTGGACAAAGATATTTGCATCTCTTTGTCGTGGGAGATGGTGGAAGCGTCTTCATGCCAAGTACAAAAATAAGTATTGATATATCTTAATCGTTCTTATTAACTCGGATGATATGGAAATTAAGAAATACTGTTGCAAAATAATCTCACCACTTGTCCCAGATTATGTTGAATGCGTTTAAAGTTTTCAGCCACTGAATGGGTGAAAGGTAAAGGTATGGAGGAAGTTATGACCATCAAGAACGCGTACCGTTTGTTTGTTCCTATTTATGTGTTTCTTGTACGAATATTTTATATTCGTATATGACCTATGTATCTATTGGTTCAATATAAAGATCAAGTTTATATTAATATTTATATTCTAATATAAAAGACGACAATGTGATGGATCGGTTTTGATTAAAGTCATTAGAATTCGGGTGTATTGATAACCTCTTTCCTTACCTTATTATATGTATAAATGTCTTTCTCTAATATTTAGTTACATGTGTATAGTATTTGTAGTTAATATTAACTTCATAAAGATGATACTATATACATGTAAGTGAAGGTTACATAAAAGGATGGCTACGTATAAAAATGGTTACATGGTAATTGTTGTGAACCAACACAACCATTAACATAAATATATAAACTACGTGTTTCCTCCTCTGGTTTTTATTACCGTAACAAGACAATATCAAAGAGAGAAAAAGACAGGTTTGATTCCTCTCCATCAAAGGAATCTTGAAAGTCAAAGGTTAGGGATAGAGAAGATCAATTGGTGGCATCCATACTAAGTCTAACCAAGCAAGGATCAAGGTTAGTGTTTTCTTCTTCTTCTCTTAGAAATTATTATGGTTGAATTAAGATAAATCTAGTTTGGTCTTGGATAGATTTCATTACAGAAATCATTATAGTTCATCTTACATTTCTAAGACATTAACATAAACTGTTGTTACTATGACTGTCTATTGGTTACTGATTAGTATGGTAGATAAGGTTTTACAGAAATATATGTCAACGCAAACACCCTTGACATATTTATCTGAGAATAGCTAGACATTAACATAAACTATTTTTTCTATCCGTCGTCATGTATTTTGGCAGCGAAATCGCGAAGCATCTTTCTCTCCCACCAGCGAAGCTCCATTGCAGTATGTTGGCAGAGGATGCCATCAAGGCAGCTGTGAATGACTACAGTCCGCAGTGCGACGTGTTCCCGGAACAACTCTACCGACGAATCAAAGTCTAGGAAATGTCTGAGCAGTCCCGGTCGTAACGGCGTGCATCTTGGTCGCAACAGTCCAGTCTGGCAAGCCGACGTGGAAGTGGAGCTCCGACCGCGAAAACAATATCAAATAACCATTTGGTAATGGTTATACGTCACTCGTAACTTGAAAAACTAGCATGTATTTAAATAATTAGAAAGAGTAAAACAATACACTGGAGAGGAAACACATAGTTGACATCAATCATGTCTTAGTGAATTCCTTGGTAACCATCGCCTACTAGAGAGTTGAACAGACGAGCAATCAAATTCGTGTAGTTTCTCGTTATTGCAATCACTGAAATAGATGGTATTTCTAAGGATTCCATCATTGTCATTAGCGAGCACAGTGATACCTAGATCCAAAAGCATTGCCTCGTCGCCCAAGGAATAGACTTGTTCATATTTTTTAAACCCTAATGAATAAACCTTGTAGAGACGGAAGGACCAGCGTCTAAACCCCCACATTTTTACAACCTTGAGGACATCTCCTGTTACTGTGACTACAATGTTTGTAGAAACAGTGCGCCACCAATTAATTCCCAAAATACCAACTGGTTTAAAACGTATGGGACTTACATTACGTTTTTCCTCAATACGAACACGTGTTTGTTTTGGAATCTCCCCAGAAAAGTAGAAGATTTTGACTTCTAATTCAGTGTAATTTTTTCTTCTTCTCAACAAGTAAAGCTTTCGATCCCTGTAAACCATGTCACGACAACCTGAAGTTTTGGGAATTTGCTTCCACGAGTTATCTCCTGTCTTAGAATAGACCACACACTTCTCCCTAAGTGTCCATGAAACTACATGATCTTTTGTTTTTTTGTCAATCCAAAACACAGGCGATTGTATCTTTGTCATCCCAAGCTGTGATTCCACAGGAGGTAGATTAATCCTCTCGTGAGTAAAGAGATTCACAATGTAGAGATTTAGCTCCAGATTTTGCATCAAGAGCCAACTTCCATAGGTTTTAATACACGAGCTATTAGCAAACTCCAAACCAAGATCTTGCGTTTTGTAGAATTTGTCTTCTTCCTTGGGGTTGAACAACATGCAAGAATTAGATTGGTTGTTTTGGGGGAAGAGAAGCACCCAAGGGATGTGATTTTTACGCACACATTGTCTCGACGAAGAGCGCCATGACGAGCATACGGATTTAGCTCGTTGGAAATCAGCAAAGCTGAGGCGTTCGAAGACCAAATTCAAGAGATCAAACGGAAGATCAGACCAGGATTTGCATGTATCTCCTCTTAGACGTTTGTGAGAGTTAGAGTTTAGCTTCTTCGTCTTCATGGCAATATATCCTCTGAGACGTTTAACTATAGGGTTTTGCTTCATCTTCTTCTTGGTAGTATCTCCTCTGAGGCGTTTATAAAAATTAGGGTTTTGCTTCTTCTTCATGAAAAAATGTGAGAATACATAAATCTTTGTTCAAAGAATTAGGGTTTCTTTTATATTCTGTTGGAACTGGATCTCTTCGGCCCAGTATTTAGTTCCTACTTTTTGTTTGTTTAGTATTAAGTTTTTCTTTTTTTTTGCCTTTCGTGATCTTTTTTCATAAAGAAAGTTCATTGACTTTTTTTTAGATCGATTTGTCAAACTTGCTTAATAGGGTCCATTTATATTTTCTAGTTATATCGCCCTGGGTCATCTGAGATGGTTCGCAGAGCTATTTTATAGTGAAAGCGGTGGCTCTGTTTTGTAACTGGTTTTGCCTTTTTGGGGTGTGATGTTGTTGATGGTTTGTACGTGGCATTCGTTGTTGCGGTGTGGCCTTTGCGTTGGCTTTTTTCGGGTTGTATACCTTAATGCAAATTATATCTTTCAAGTGACAAAAAAATTATGGGTTAGTTTCATGAGTATACTATCTTTATATACATAATTTCCTCTGTTACTAAACTAAGAGCATCCGCAATGGCGGATCCTTGGGAGGAATCCTTAGGAAAAAGAAAAAAGGGTATTTCGGATTATATAAGGATATTTCAGATTTTTTCTTTAAAAAAAAACTGACCACTCACGGACCGCCACGTGTGCAGTGGAGCCCATGAATAGTGTAAGGATCAATCCTTACATAAGGATTTTTAGGATGAAATCCTTAACTGTTCATGGGACCCATTAATTATAAAATTAATATTTCTCTAAGGATTCCCCGTAAGGATTCACTATTGCGGGTGCTCTAATAGTTTAACGAAGGTAAATGGTCTTTGCTAAAAATACCAATAGTATAATGATGAAAATTATTAATTTATGATGGGACTATATCTTGTTTAGTTCTACTTTTAAAAGAGTTTTTCTTTATACCAGTGAGAATCCACAACAAAGATAACCTTCTTTTTAGCACAAAAGAAAAAAGAAAAACTTCTTTGAAGCCACCATATCATTCTTAGAGCACCCGCAACCACGGGTCCTTAGCAGGAATCCTTAGGGAAATATTAATTTTATAATCAGTAGGTCCCATGAATAGTTAAGGATTCTATTCTTAAAATCCTTATTTAAGGATTGATCCTTACACTATTCGCGGGCTCCACTGCCCACATGGCGGCCCGTGAATGGTCAGTTTTTTTTATTTTTAAGAAAAAATCTGAAATATCCTTATATAATCTGAAATGCCCCTTTTTCTTTTTCCCTAAGGATTTTCCTTAAGGACCATTGTTGCGGGTGCTCTTAATTAACACATTCTCTAACTTGAGTGTAGTTTAACCTTAGGTTATATAAAACACTCCTATGAAAAAAACTAGCATGTATCCATATCATGAATAAGAGTAAAACAACATATTGAAGAGGAAAACATAGTCGATATATCAATCACGACATAGTGAAACTTGGTAAGAACCATCGACTACTAGGTAGTTGAACAGACAAGCAGTCAAGTTTGTGTAGTTTCTCCACGTTCCTTGTCTTGAGATTGAAGAGAAAAGCATTATTCGTGTTCTCGCAACCATTGAAATAGATGGTATTTCTACTGATTCCATCACCGTCATTGGCGAGCACAGTGATACCTAAATCCAAAAGCATTGCCTCGTCGCCCAAGGAATAAACTTGTTCATATTTTTTAAACCCTAATGAATAAATCTTGTAGAGACGGAAGGACAAGATTCTAGCGGTTGGTCTCCACATTTTAAAAACCTTTAGGACATCTCCTGTTACTGTGACTACAATTTGTTTTGCAACAATTTCCCACCTATCAGTTATCTGATAATTACGTGTTATATGTCTTTTCACAATAAAAACACAAGTTTGTTGTGGAATCTCTCCAGAAAAATCGAAGATTTTGACATTATTGGGGTAAGTTGACAAGTAAAGCTTGTGATCCTTGTACACCATGTCACGACAATCTGAAGTTTCGGGAATTTGATTCCACAAGTTATCTCCTGTCTTAGAATAGACCACACACTTCTCCCTAAGTGCCCATGAAACTACATAATCTTTGGTTTTCTCGTCAATCCAAAATACAGGCGATTGTATCTTTTTCATCCCAAGCTGTGATTCCACAGGAGGTAGATTAATCCTCTCGTGGGTGAAGAGATTCACAATGTATAGATTTAGCTCGAGATTTTGCATCAAGAGCCAACTTCCATAGGTTTTAAGACACGAGCTATTTGCAAACTCCAAACCAAGATCTTGCGTTTTGTAGAGTTTGTCTTTTTCCTCGGGGTTGAACAACATGCAAGAACTGTTTTCTTTGCTTTTAGGGAAGAGGAGCAGCCAAGGAATGTGATTTTTGGGCACACACTGTCTTGAAAAAGAGAGCCATGACGAGCATACAGATTTAGCTCGTTGGAAATCAGCAAAGCCGAGGCCTTCGAAAATCAGATTCAAGATATCAAGCGGAAGATCGGACCAGATGGATTTGGATGTATCTCCTAAGAGACACGGCGACACGGCGAATCCCTTTCAAAGAATTAGGGTTTTTTTTTAACTTATACGAAAAATAATAATTCGGGTTTCTTTTTGTATTTGTTACAATTGGGCCTATTCAAACCAGTTTTTAAACTTATCATTTTTCTTGTATAGTTTTCGGCCGCATTTTCGGATGCATCGATGATCAAGGACATGAGGAGAAACCTCTCTCTGGTGCTATTGTGGAATAAGGAGATCGGAAAAGTATATGATCCCTTTCTCTCTTAAGAAGTTAAATATCGTGGATGAAATGATCAGATACTTAGAGCACCTTTAGGGAATGGGTATTGGTGGGATTGGGAAAAATCCCTTAACTTTTGTTTTTGTTTTTGTTTTTTTTTTTGTCGGTTTTAACTAAGGGATATCCTTTATTATCCCTTAGCTAAGGGATTTTCCTTCTCTTTGAATCTTGATTTCCGTGTTTTTCCCCTAAGGGACTACCAATACCCATGCCATCGCAAGCTTTTAAAAGGGGTTTCAAGGGGAAAAGGTGGGGTGGGACCCAGAAAGGAGGAAGAAACGTGGCTTCTTCTTCTAGAATAAACGTCGTTTGCTGTCTGTTTTTTACACTGTTTTGCGGGCCCCACGGCACGAGGCGGCCCGAGATTAGTTTCTTTTTTAATTTTTTTTTTTTTTAAACATATAAAGCAAAAAAATTTTTTTTTTTAAAAACGAATCAGCGTCTTTGCGATAAAGGTAGTCTTACATGTGTTTTTAATGTTGTCACTTTCTCGTCTTGAGGCAAGTTAACGATGTGATGATTTAAAATTGCTCATTCCACTCGGAATGTGAAATCTGAGAATCAACATTTCGGCAAACCGTAATACTTAATAGTACTGTCAAATAATTCATCCCAACTTTTAGGCGTGAGTAAAAAAAACGAACCCAAAAACTCGAACTGAATAGTCCTAAAAATATAAATCTGAACTTCCCGTGGTATTTTGGAGTTTACTATAACCTAATCTGATACCTGAAAGAAAAACAAAAACAAAAAAATCACACCAAACTCAATTCCAAATAAGTTTAATGTATATTTTGGTATTCTACTTGTAGGCAAAGCGAAATCTTAGACATGGCGGTCTCTCCTTAGACATGACATGATTCTGAATTGGAGAATTATTCAGTAAAATGAACTTGGGAAGTCTTACGTCATAGAGCACCGCCTCAGCAATGGTCCTCTTGTGTCTGGTTTAAAGGTGCAATTCCTAGACATGCCTTCAATATGTGGCTAGCTCAGCTCGATAGGCTACCCACAAGATCTCGCCGCTCAAATTGGGGAGCCAATATCCCAACTTCTTGCTGCCTTTGCAATATCTACACCGAAGACAGAGATCACCTCTTCCTTCGCTGCGAATGGAGTGCTAATCTTTGGATCATTTGTCTGCGAAGAATGGGATACTCATTTAGGGGATTCCACACATGGTTAGCCTTCTCTGATTGGCTAAGTTTATGTGACACAGTGGCTCCGGCGCTTCTGAAGCGTCTAGTAGCCTCGGCATCTATCTACTCCATTTGGCCTGAGAGGAACAAGCGGTATCATGAAAACATCTCCTCATCTCCAGCAACCATTTTCAAGTTACTAGACCGTTTCATTACAGATGCAATTCTGTCCAAGAGAAATAAAAAACAGAGCTGAGGCTTAATGGAACATTGGTTATCTAGGGAGTAAAGTCTCCTGTTCTTCCTTTATTATGCTTTACCTTGTTTTTATTCTTTTTGCCAAGGTAAACCATAGTTTGACTTAACCGATTGTAATAAGTTACAAACTCTAGCTATTTTAATGGAATTCACATATTTGGCAAAAATAAATAAATCTAGTAACTCTATTTTGATAGAATATCAAGTCTATGTAAAGTCAATGCAATCCAATGACATAGCATAGCTATTTTTCTCCATTATTACGGCTTCGTTTCACGATGAAGTATTTCCTAAATACATAATTTTCTAACTGTTACTAAACTACTAGTTTAATGAAGGAAAATGGTCTTTGCTAAAATATCTTTAATATTATAATGATGAAAAGATTATTAGTTCATGATGATACTATATCAAATTTTGTTCTAGTTTTAAAAAGAGTTTTTCTTTGCACCAGTAAAATTCTACAAAAAAAACAAAAAAAAAACTTCGTTTAAGCCACCATATTATTTTGAAACCCATTTGCTAACTAGATTTGTAGTTTAACCTTGGGTTATACAACACTCTTAAATATATATAAAAAAAAAACTAGCATGTAACCATATCATCAGTAAGAGTAAAACAACATTAAATGGAAAAACATAGTTTACAACAACACATAGTTGACATCAATCATGTCTTTATGAAACTAGCTAGGTAAGAACCATCGCTTACTAGAGAGTTGTACAGACGAGCAATCAAATCTGTGTAGTTTCTCCTTCTTCCTTGTCTCTAGATTGAAGAGAGAGATAGAATTTGCCTTCTTGGAACCACTGAAATAGATGGAGTTTCTACGAATTCCATCATTGTCATTGGCAAGTACAGTGATACCTAAATCCAAAAGCATTGCCTCGTCACCCAAGGAATGAACTTCTTCATGTTTTTTAAATAACCCTAATGAATAAACCTTGTAGAGACGGAAGAACCTGACTCCAAACTTTGGCATCCTTACTATTTCAACCTTGAGGACATCTCCTGTTACGGTGACTATAATTTTGGTCAACAGTCAGCCCACCAAAACTCACAGGATAAGTTTGTAAAGGATGTACAAGAATATGTCTTTCCTCAGTAACAACACAGTTGTGTTGTGGAACAATCTGTTGTGGAATCTCTCCAGAAAAATCGAAGATTTTGATTTTTCCAGAGTAAGTTGACAAGTAAAGCTTGTGATCCTTGTAAACCATGTCAAGACAATCTGAAATTTGGGGAATTTGATTCCACGAATTATCTCCTGTCTTAGAATAGACCACACAAAAGGTACTAAGTGCCCATAAAACTACATGATCTTTTGTTTTCTCGTCAATCCAAAACACAGGAGATCGTACGTCCATACCTTTCCACCCATATCCGTTGTTACTTGTAATGCGAAACTGATTGTCTAAGACACGCTCCACCATTGTCATCCCAAGCTGTGATTCCACAGGAGGTAGATTAATCCTCTCGTGGGTAAATAGATTCACAATGTAAAGATTTAGTTGGAGATTTTGCATCAAGAGCCAACTTCCATAGGTTTTAAGACACAAGCTATTTGCAAACTCCAAACCAAGATCTATCGTTTTGTAGAGTTTATCTTTTTCCTCGGGGTTGAACAACATGCAAGAATTGGTTTGGTTGTTTTGGGGGAAGAGAAGCACCCAAGGGACGTGATTTTTACGCACACATTGTCTTGAAAAGGAGAGCCATGACGAGCATACAGATTTAGCTCGTTGGAAATCAGCAAAGCCTAGGCGTTCGAAAACCAAATTTAAGAGATCAAGAGGAAGATTGGACCAGGATTTGCATGTATCACCTATAAGACCGTTATTAGAAGTAGGGTTTAGCTTCTTCTCCATGGCAAGTTGTGAGAAATGCCGTAAATCTTTGTTCAAAGATTAGGGTTTCTTTTATGTTAGAAAAAAGAGAAGAATTAGGTTTCTCTTATACTGTATTACTAGGTGATTTTTCCGTGCTCATGCACGGACTTAAATATTTAAGAAATAAATATATTATAATAATTGATTGATATTTACTTTAAATTTTATATTAATTTATAGTTTGTATGTATAATTTGTATTAATAATATTATACTAGAGTTTCACCCGCACATCCGTGCGGGTATATTTTTCATTGTATAAATGTATAAATATCTTTTTAAATATATGATTTTTATTTTAGTTTTATTTATAATTATATCTAACAAAAAATAAAGAAATAGTTATTTATAAAAAATATTTAAATTTTTTTGTAAGATCTTGTTAGATTTTTCAACAGATTTTGTTATATTTTAATTTATTTTTTCTTGATATCCTTATTAATTATTAAGATATTTTACAAATAATATATATTTGATTGGTTAATGTAACAATCAAATATGTTAAATTAATAACTAATGACATAGTCCAATATGACTCATAAATAGTAGATAAATTTGGTACTTCTCTTTTAATAGAGAAGATATATTATAGTAATCACATATTTACGATATGTATAATAAATGTTTTTCAAACATAATAATATTATATAATACGTGTTTTAATCAAATAGATTGTTTCAAATTTTTTATATTATACATGTTTTATAAACATATGTTTGTTTCTTCTTCTATATTTTATTGTTTGTTAGATTGGTAATTCATTTTTAGATAATTTAATATAAATAGAGCTTGATTAAATATTAGTATACTTTAATTTGCAAAGATAATATAAACTTCAAAGAAATTTTTGCTAAAAACTAAACTTATATCTTCATAAATTAATATTATAAAGAATTTTATTAAAAATAATTTTTAAACAATTTCTTTTTTTAAAACAATATAATTTTAAAAATTTACATGGAAATAATTTATCTATTATATATAGCGTGTAAATTTTGTTAGGGTACAAAAATATTCCATATCATGAATCTGTGATTTTTGTTAATATATTGTGGATGCATTTAACTATTATTGACATATTTCCTTATAAATAATAGAAGATTCCTAAACTTATACCTATTGACATATTTTACGTGACTAAATTGGAAGGTGTGAAGTAATTTACCAAAACCAAATTGTTAAGTGTATCTTTGCTATCATAGATATGATTTTTCATAAGATATAATAATGATAAGATTATTAGAGAGTTAATGTAACATGATTTTCTGGTAATAGTCCATTTTTAAAAAAATCACACATGAAGTCAAGTCATGACTTCTGTTTTAATATATAAGATATTTTAGTTATTATAATTTTATACATATTATATTTAGTCAGTATTATCATTTGGATATATATATATATATATTGGATTCTTTCTATTCTATGAATTCAACTATAATCTTTTTTATTCTAAATATCTTAAATTTTTGATTAATTATTTTATTTACATTTATGTTGGTTGTTATCTAGGAAATATAAGTATATCTTAGTAAGATTATGTATTTTAAGATTTTTTGTGCTTAGAACGAAAAGAATAAAAACTAAAGTGTCTGATTCTAAATTACATAAGTAATCATAAATTTTTGAAAGCTTATAAACACATATCAATATTTACAATAATTAAAATATTTTATAAACTCTAAATAATTTATGCCATAGATTGATTGGATGATAAACTGAATTTTTTTAAAAATAATTTTAAAAATAAGGAATTCTAATTTGCTTTAAGTATTAGATTATGGTTATATTAAATTCCACAAACATAAAAACAGAAAATTAAACATCAAAAGAGTTATTAAGAAAACAGATAATTTTAACAATTAATTATAATATATCTACCTTGTTAAATTATAGTGTTATGATATATTAAAATAACTGTAGTTATTTGATCAAAAGATGTTTATTATTAAATTTATTTTTAGTTTTGTTTTTAACATCTATTAAAATATGCAGTAAAAATGTAATTTTTTGAGAAATTATATTATATAAGTAAAATATAATTTATATTTTTTTGCTGTAATTGTAAGATATTATAATCAAATAAATATACTAAAAAAATATTTCAATAATACTAATTATAATTTTTTTGTCAATTAAACATATATCATTTTATGTTACTTAATTATTTTAC